GTGTGTTTTACAGAGTTTTAGTGTGTATTCTGCTACTTTCTCGAATGTAAATATTATGTCTAGCCGTCATTTAGTGCTCTTGAAGTTTTCGTGCTCAAAATTTCAGTTTCGTGTTCAAAATTGGAAGATATTTGATGCAAAATTTCCAAAAAAGCACAAATTTTAATCAGTATCCGAAATTTGATTATTGAACATCACAAAACTGGCAAAACCTACCGTGATATTGCCGATATTGTCCAGCTTCACAAAGATACGGTCGCTAGAATGGTGCAGATGTACAAAAAGCGTGGTTCTATCTCACCACTTAAGCGATCGGGGCGTCCTTCAAAGACAACTGGCCGAATTGGCAAAGCTATCATGAAGAAGGCAGAGCTGGAACGGGGACTATCAGCTCCAAAAATTGCGAAACAGATTTAAAGCGAGTTTTCCATTCAACTGACATCACAAGCCGTACGAAATCGTCTTCATAAGAAAGGTCTTAGGGGAGAGTAGCTCCTAAGAAGCCATAGTTGTCCGCAAAAAATATCAAAAAAAGATTGAATTGGGCCGAGGACCAAATTTCATGGACCCGTGATAACTGGAATAAGGTGATCTGGTCAGACGAAACGAAAGTAATGCTATTTGGGTCTGATGGTATCAATACCCAAATAGCATAACCATAAGAAAAAGCTTAACGACGTGTTCGGAGTATCATCCAAACGGTCAAGTGATTTCTGGTAGCCAGCATCTTTCTTTACTAGATGGTCGAGTGGCGCTCGGAGAGAGTCAGTAATAATTGATCGTACCAAGCTACGAACGTAGCTGGGATACATTCATCGGCGGTGGCATCTCGGAGATAGCGTTGTGAGTAGTTTTCGAGCAAGTTCGATTGAACCCAGGCCTGCAGAGGTAATCACGCTTATTTATTTATTTATTTATTTATTTATTTATTTTTATTATTTATTTATTTATTTATTTATTTATTTTTATTATTTATTATTTTATTTCAATCAATCAAATCGTAGACTACATATTAACATTAAGACTTCTGTTCTATGACTTCGCAGGGTTCTGAAATATATTTTTAATTCTGTTGAGGGCATATTTAGGTCAATCATTTCACAATGATGATTATAAACAGTCATCATCTGATTTACCGGTCCAAATTTAGCGTAATTGGTCCGATGGCGATCTACTGCGAACAACTGTCGATTGCGTAATTGTCGGGAAGGTGCATACAAATTTAACCTTGACAATAGATCAGCTGAGTCAATGCGTTGCGAAATGATATTGTTTAATAAAGAAATCTTTGCGTAATCCCGACGTTCTTTCAATGTTTGAATGCTGATCAGCAAGCAACGTGCTTCATATGACGGGAGAGGAAAAGCCGTCCAACCTAACTTACGTAATGCATATAATAAAAATTGCTTTTGGATTGACTCTATTCGTTCTTCATGCTTTTTCATATAGGGTGACCAAACAACGCTACAATATTCTAAAATTGACCTCACATAAGCAACGTAAAGTGATTTAATTGTATAAGGATCTTTAAAGTGGAGACCGAAACGTTTTATAAAATTACCACTACCCGAGCAAAGCTGGAGATCAAATTGAAATCACAATTTGCTGTTATGATGTAACTTATTTTGAATACTCCAGTTGATCTCATTTTGGTTGACTTAACGGTTAACACAGCAAAAATGAGAGCAAATTTTTACACTGTTGAATCAAACGGAAAACTAATCTTGCTCTCAATGAAATCAATTTGATTTCTGATTTTGCATTCATTATGTTTAACTAAATACGGGCCTGGCGTAAATCGTAAGCATCCATGCTTCTCACGCTGAAAGACTTGAGCTCAAATCTCACCCCGGGCAAATAACGAATGACCTAAAATGTGTTAAACAATAAGCGTTAGTGCAACGACAGATGAGCTTAAATTAAATTTTAAACAAGACGTTAACAGCAGAACTTCAATTTAAGTTGCTTTCATTTAAAAAGTCTTGACTGCTTAATGAAAGCACAATATGATATCAGACTAATGTCGTGACAATTGAAATCAAAATGAGTTTTCATTATGATAGGAACTGCAAACTTTAATATAGGTTTGCTTTCATTTTGTTAACCGACTTTGCTCGGGTACACCACCGGCTCCGCTATACCTGTAGAGTAGTCACGACAAATGAGTACGGAGACATCGGATTTGCGAACCACAACTATAGGTGCAGAACTTTTTTTTATATCTTTATTAAGGAGACTTTCAGCCCTGGGCTGGTTCGTCTCCGGGTGCAGAACTTGACTGGTGAAATGGTGCCGTTGTCTTGAAGCCTTTGGAGCTCAGCATCAACTTTGGGAAGTGCGGAGTAGGCAACTGATCTCTTAGGATAGTACACAGGACGAGCATCTGGCTTCTGGTAGAGCGTTACCTGTGCCTTTGTGCAGCATCCGAGCGTAGTCTGGAGCACTTCAGGTAGCTTGAGTTGCAAGCTGTGCATGGTCGCGTTAAAACTGTGCTGGATGGTGTTGACTATCAAGTTGAATGGAACCGACCAGATATAGAACTGATAGATTGTTTCTATACCAAGAACGTTGAGATCCGGGTTGGTTGTGACGAAAATGCGGCCTTCTTTTGTCACGTTTTGGATGGTGCTTTCGGCGTTGAACACACCCATGATGGCGATGCTGTCAAATGATTACGGTGACGTCCTTCGTAGAACTGATAACAGGTTTACCCACGGTAATCCAAGTCTGCTTGGAGATAATGGTGGTATCGGAAGCACATTCAATCTGCAATGTTGCTGTTGAGCCGTTGATTTCGATCTTGGCATACTTCCGAATCTACGTTAGGTCGATTCACTTAACCGAGATACCCTTAGATTTGACGATGTCTTTAGGTTTAGATTGTCGACCTTTTCAGATGATGAGTCGTAACCTTCCTTGTGACCCTTTCGCCTGCACTTCGCACAGGTATGGGTCTGGTAGGGACACTCCTTCACGTAGTGCAAATCCCCAGAGAATCAGTAAGGCAACTTCTCCTTCCTACTTGCTGGATGTCGAGGGATTGCATTGACATTTGATCTATTTGAGCAACCCTTCTCGATCATCTGCGTATCCTGCTTGAGATTGATTATGGATGCGATGGTACTCCTTAACCAGGTTTTCGAGCTTCAGCGTTGCACCTTTGGGGAGATGAGCAGGTTCTTCTGCTTCCAGTTTCCCTATCAGCCTGGTTCGGATATCCGCGTCACGTGATGACCGCATATGAACCGGAGCGTCTTGAATTGGTCGCTGGAAAGTTTCTCGGTCTGTAACGCTTCACAGTGCTTGCTGACCGATGCTGCGTAAGACGAAAAATCAACAGCGTCGTTCTTGGTGTACTGAAGACACTGATATTGTGCGTTGAAGAGAGACTTTTGACGTCCGAACAGCTTCTTAAGCTTCTTTACGGTTTCTCAGAACCCAAAATCTCGTGGATGTTTCGGCAAAACGCTGTTCACTGAGCGTTCGTGTAATTGCGTGCCAATTTTCCGTAGAAGTAGCCTGACCTTAACCTTGTCGTCCAAGTGCTTCCCGTCCTCGTATCAAGCGTACTACGAATCAAAAAATAGTCCGCCGTCCGGATCGTAGCGTAACTCGTCGATTCCGGTAGATAGTGAAGGCTGGCGCACAATGTATAAGTTTCCGGGTTTTTTGACAGATAATGCATGGGCTAACTATCAAAAAACCTGAAAACTTATCCATTGTGCGCCGGCCTTGACTCGATAATCTTCTCGCTTCCAGCTTGATTGGCGTTGGTCTGTTAAAGGGCTGCAATCTGATGCTGTTGACGATCAGATCTGTCATCTGTAGAATCGCTCAAGCTTCAGATCGTTATCAGACATTCTTGATTTCGAGGTGGTTAGAGAGGTTTCAATGGTGAAACAGGAACAGCACTTGAAGTTGCTTCCGGACAATAGCAGTAACTTATTAACGAGAGAAAATCGACGAAGAGAATCGATCATCGCGTTCTTTTCTATTAGATACTTTCGTACCCTGGCTACAAATCATAGCCTACACTGAGGCAAATCAACTTAAGAACTGCGATTATGGGTAGTATAAGTCTTTAACCATTTCATTTTCCTAAGCATTGAAAGATGAGTGGACAACACACGAGCCCCGTTATCTCAATTTCCAGGTTCGGGACCAGTCGGCACAGTTTTATTATTTTTGTCAACATTAATTTTCATAAGGAAAATCAATGAAGTTCATATTTCATTTCTTGTGGCTAAAATTCATAAGTGGTTCTTATAGAATGCTTAATTTCTTTTGCCTGAGTGTACCAGGCAACATGATCTTCTGGTGTTACGCCGATGGTACATTTACGATGTCTTCTCCAAAGTAACAATTTAAGTTTTATGAGGGTTTTCTAGTCGATTATATGTACTTGTAGAATGCTTTAACACCTCTATAACACATGCAATGTTACTTGGGCTGGATATTTAGTTAAAAACTTCTGAAGTTTTCAAAAAAATTCCAAGAATTCTTCTTTCAGAAACCTTGGATTTATGTGCGGAATTCATTTGATGCGAATCATACTTAAGCTATTCAAGAAGCTTTCTAAAGGATTGTCCTGGATTTGGTTGGAATTGAAATTAAAGCTATCTTGGTTCTCTTTCATTCTAATATCTATAGTCCTATGGGCTAAAAGCAGGCATAACCTTTGCTTTTAACACCCACTTTTCTAGACATGGATGTCATATGGTTTTGCTTAGGGATTCTGTGAACTTGCACCCAGGTCTTCCGATGCGTCATGACTATCATTGAGATCTTTAACTTTTCTGACCTACTGTACCATTTTTGCATTCTCGTACATTGTGTAATAAACTGGCATGCGCATTTATAGTCTATGCCCAGGGAAAGGGAGAAATTTACCAATCTTCAAAAATTCTGGACTGGATCGAATCAAGCCTTTTCCTGTATGGCCTTGGTTTACAGTCGGGTGCTCTAAGAAAGTACATATCTATAACAATTAAAATACTTACAACCAACAGATTTCCGCTCTTGGCTCGGGTAATACTGGGCTGTGGTCCGACCTGAATCTCGATCACACCGCTTTTGCCTCTGACTAGATTGTGCGAAAGTCTAAAAAAGGAGAAACAACAGATCATCAGTTTTCGAACATCGATATTTCCTTCCATTTCATTGGATTCCACTCACGATCCCGCCTCGACAATGTTGACGATGTTGCGATTTTGCGTCACGTCCAGTATCCAAATGCAGCACTCGATAATGTCCGGCACGTCCAGAATCAGGTCGCCCTTGTCCTTCTTGAGCTCGAGCGGAATCCGTATCACCATGATCCCGTCCCGCATGCTGGTGATGCAGAAATCGACCATGTCCAGCGGGAGGCGATGCTTCTGTTTGTACGTTTTGCCATCGAGCAGATAGACGGCCTTGTCCGTTAGGAGGAAGAACCGCTCGCGCGGTTTGTACCCGCGCCGATCGTACTTGATCACCGGGGTGGAGTACTGGAAGACATAATCGAAGATATTATTAGGTTCTGGTTTAAGTAAAGGTCGGAACTTACATGCAGCTTCTCGTTGTTCATCTGCGTTACCACAAAATTACCAATCTGGGTCGCGTGTTGCTTCGGAATCCTATCGTCCACAAACCACGGCCCGATGCTTTCCGGGTAGTTTGACTTCTTGCTCTTGAACACGGATTCGGAAAGCACCTTCAGTTCGAACTGCTTCTTCTTCTCCGGAGCCAGGGCCAATCGGTAAATCCGAGCGAGGTGCAGTTTGTGCATTTTTCGCAGAATTATAGATGCTTCCTGACAGTGCACCGGCGCGGGAACCCAGGTGTGGTTCATGAAAGTCTTCGGAAGTTTTGTGGCGAGTTTGTTCAACCAGTGACGCTTGGTGTGCTCAATGAAGGATTTGTTGCACTCGTTGGGTTCGCCATGTCGGGTGATGAAGCCCTTGATGAAGAATCGAATCTTGTCGGCGGCAGCTCGGCGACGTTTTCGTTCCTGGATGGCGAGGTACCGTCGGATGTACTTTTGACAGATGATGATCTTGGCGTAGGTCTCCAGGTAGATCTGCCGCTGACGTCGGCCCTTCCAGCGGGCTTGGATGATGGACGCCAGGTAGTGTTTCTTCGCTTGGAATGCATCTTCAGTCTCGAACAGCGTCTTGGGGAAGCGGATGAAGATTTTAGTTTTGCCCATGCGGTAGTCTTCGCGATCGTAGCCCATTTCGCAGGCTAGAATCTGGACGCCTTCCTTTGCGGGACCGGGGTAGTGCGGCCAGGTTTGCCTGCTGAGGCACTTATAGCGCTGGAGGAACATTTCATACGTGCGTCGGTAGGCGAAGCCAGCTCGGCGTACGCGGAGGTTCTCCATCAGCCCAAGGTATTTGACCTGATGCCGAACCAGTTCGTAGTCGAAGTTACCGGAAGCTTGTAGGTCATTCGGTTTGATGCATCGAATGTACGACGGTTCCTTGCACATCAAAATATCCATCAGGTTGTTCAGGGAGTTCTTGAACTGTGTCACTGCCGTTTCCGGACGCCTCTTGTTGGTGATATCGGACGATGGGAAGCATCGTTTGATGATGTCATTCTTACATCCGGACATGGTCTCCTTCAAGTCCCTGAACAGAAGGTCGTTGTTCTTGTCCAAGAATCCATGGACGTGGTAGGTCACATCTCCAGCGTAGTGAACCAACCTGAATTCATCGCGACCCATTGTCTTCTGGACGGTCGTCGACGCCCTGCTGTGGCAGATGTAGTGAGCATGATCTCCCAGGTTGTCATTCATCTTCCTCAGGAAGCTCAGATCCGTAGGATCCCCCGGACGCAAGCATTCTTCGTCCATCAGAGCAACGATGCCTTTGTGCTTTTCCTCTATCAAATTACAGATCACCTTATTGTCGAAGTACTCGACGGGTTCCCACTCAATACCTTCCCGCAGATATTCCTCCTGCTCAGACTTCAGCGTCAGTTCGATGAACAACTGCTGAAGTTTCTCGTTGCAAAAGTTGATGCAGAACTGCTCGAAGCTGTTCTTTTTGAATATCTCAAATCCGTAGATGTCCAGGATGCCCATAACACTGTTCTTCTTCGGAATATGTTCCGCGTGAAGTGAAGTGTTGATCCTCGACACCAACCAGCTGAAGAGTCGATCGTAGACTGCCTTTGCGAGGGCATCCCGAGCGTAAATGGCCATGTCCCTGTTCAATGGGCTTGTCACGATATCACCGCGAGCTTCGATCGTACGATGGGTGAAAGCGTTGCGCAGCTGTTCTTCCTCGCAACCTAGGAGCTAAAATGGGACGGAACTTAGACTCGGATCTTCCGGAGTTATATACCATATTAAAAATTACCTTTGCGATCGCCGTAACGGATTCCGGTTTCAGGATCTTAGCCTTGCCTTCCTCTTCGGTGAATCCAACGTTTCCCATGTACAGCACGCTGGCCACGATCTGCAGGATTAGCTTCTGCTCTTCGGCCGGGATTTCGATTACCGACATGGCGGTTTGTACTTGCCGGAAATTTTCCGCGTCTCTAATACTGGCACTGTTTCCATTGTCCTGAGAAAATATTCAAAGTTAAATATGTAACCTTTCCCAAAAAGAAACATCAATCCAACTCACCCCATCCGTCAGATAGTAGTACGTGTCCAACTTTCGCTTCAAGTGCAACTCCTGCAGCAGCGCATCGTCCGCTCCGGCCAACAGCTGGTAGAATATGTGGAAGTTCCTTTCCCCGTTACTCTGGTGCACCACTCGGCTCTTCTCCAGCAAGTAGTTCAAGATGTTGCCCCCCTCTGGGGTACCCCGGAAATCGAACTGCACGTCCATGTACTTGCCGAAGCGTGACGAATTGTCGTTCCTGTTCGTTTTGGCATTGCCGAACGCCTCCAACACCGGATTGCTCTGCAGCAGTTTGTCCTTGACGCCTTCCACGCTGGTCGTGTGCCCCGTCGCCGCGGCAATGAACTGCAGGACCTTCTTCGACGCTTCCGTCTTACCCGAGCCGCTCTCGCCCGAGATCAGGATACATTGGCCCCGGTTTTCCTCGGTCAGCGATCGGTACGCGTTGTCGCTCAAGGCAAAGCTGTCTCGGTGGAGGAAAAATCGAAAGAAAGGAAGTTGCGGGTTATTTTTAGGATAAGTGCATGGCGTATGAAGTCGGATGAAAATAAATAGTGTTCTCTTGGGACGATGCACGTATACAAAGTCTCTGATGGTGACCGGTGATGACGGACGACGACGGTCCGACAGCGGCAGTAAATCATTTAAATTGACTGGAAAATGAACTCCGGTCTGGGATGGTATGGAAATAGATTTTAATTTGGTTGCGTGGAAACTAGTCGTTATGGCACGGGTTAAGATCTAGATTTGTGGACATTTAAATGCCGTATCCGCACAACATGCAGACTTTCTTCCCGCTTTGTAAGTTCGAATTTCATGGAGACGCAGTTTATATTGAAAAATTAGTTCTGTTCTCGAACAGTAGATTCAGTAATTTATATTTTTTTTGCGATACGAAAACAATAGAAGAAGGCACAAGAAGATGTTATAATCCTATTTTCATTTTTTTTTTCAGAGTGAAAGTTTGTTTAGAAGCTGGAAAATAATAAAATAATATGAACCAGAGGTTTGCATCAAAAGTTTCGTCAATGCGCCTTTCTAACATGTAAACATATTGAATTTATTATTCTTCTTTGATATGAGCGTGACAGCTTAAAGAACCAGTTGCCCTGTATGTCAGACTGTTTCTAAATCCGCATTAGAAACGAACCTTCACTTTTCTGGTGAATTCTACAACTTTTTTCAGTATGTTCGCATTATTGTTTAAAAACATGTCCGTTATGTTGGTGTAACTTCGCTAAGATTCCAAATCGGGCAATGCATAATCAGATGTTCCATCGCATATTTCACAGTTTGGGTCCAGAATGATTTTCATTTTAAGAGGTCAATAGTTTGAGTAGTCATGACAACAGTCGCTATATTTATAGTCTAGCGGATAGACTGTCGGGAACCAATTGAGCTGTCAAATAGCGGAACCAATCGAACAAATCATGACTAAAGCCCTACAGTAAAAGTATGGACGTCTGTCAAAAGTTGTTCCAATCGAACCGTCAAAATGCACCGCTTTGCTCGATTGGAACAGCTTTTTTCAGTTTTGTGGTGACAGTCGTCCATACTTTTACTGTAGGGCTTTAATCATGACTACCAAGGGAAAAGAGCACATCAGCCATTGCAAAACTTCGGAAATTCTTTTCTAGTGACTCAACGGTCTCCTACGCAAACTAACACCACCTTTGGGTTGGGGAAAGTCTCCCCTATCCGATAATGCTGGTAATTTGCGTTCGATTGGCGAGGAAAGAATAATCAACGTTTTGTTTATAAATGCTGAGTTGAGAAATTCTATCCGCCGCAGTATAAATATAGCGACTATAGTCATGACCGCTAATCAGTCTATTTAATAATTTGACATCTGAGCAACATATGTCCAATCTGGTATACTACGGTATATACAAAAACTTTCCTTGTATTTCGTAGAATGTTTTGCCTTTCTCTGTTGAATATTCTTGACACCACTTATCTGTTGCTTCCGCTTTATATTTCTTAAGGTATTGAATCACGTCCTTAAAAACCAGGAAAACCAGTGATGATCTTGATGACCCATTTTTGGCTAATGAATCCGCGATATCGGTGACAACAATCTCAACATGGTTGGGATTACATTGGAAATCAATTCTCCATTTATGAGTTATTAAATAACGCGCATCATTTAAAAAGGGCATATCCTCGTTGGTCGATTCTCTTAATCAACTTTCTATTTGGTTTACTACGGCTACATAAACGAATTTCTTGCTAAGCTCGCAGCACAGTTCGACAGAAGATGATGTTAGCTTGCGCCTGAAACAACACCCTCAATGGGAAATTCATTTGCAGTCGGTTTATTCGCGAAAGAGAGAATCTATTAACAATTATAGGCCCTTTTCTCGTCTTGCGCGAGATTTCCGGTATTCTTAAAGGGTGGAACGAGCAAAAAGTAGTCACACAAAATTAAGTGCAGGAAAATAATGTTAATATATGAATCATCTGTTTTGTGTCATTCTGGCACCTTATTCTTACATGAAGCTCTGATATTGTTGAGTTCACTCTCTGCTTTACCAAATACGATTTCACGGACTTTGCGGTTGATATCTTCTATTTAGTTTTGCACAACCTTATTGTATTGTTAAATTAAGTAAATACCATTCAAATGACCTTTGGAGATCGAAAATTGAACGTAAAATGAGAGATCATTGAACAAAACATATTTGCATGGTTTTTTGGGGGTGTCCTTAAACTTATGATCGGTAGTGTATGCCGTTTTGGTTTGATTATTTTACGTATTATCAACTTATTCGGGACCATTCTTGAGAATTGCTCGTGATGATTGTTCAATATTTTTAAAATAGCCGAAGCATAATTAATTTGGAAAGTTCTAGTTTTTGGCAACGTTGTTGGTTTCATACAATTTTTACGTCGCAATAACAAGGCGCGAGATCAGGCCAATACAGCATAAGGAATCAGTGGTTTCTAATAAAATGTAATACACATATGTTCAAACACTCGCTCACGTAAATATTCTGGATGATGATGCCAGCTGTCACAAAGATAATTACTTTACAGCTCACCAGTGCAAATCACCTGCCCGACCAAATAGTTTTCTTAAAAACTTCGACAGATTTTGTTTTGTCTAAGTCGCCTTTCCGTTTCTGTATACAATTATTGTCGAGAAAGCCTTCAACAAGAAAGATCTGCTTTTAACGAATGCGCGTGCAGAATATTAAAATACTGGTTCTCTTAAGGGGTAAGTCACTCAGCACAGTGTGCCGAAAGTAGATTCGGCACAGCTTAGGTACATCCTTCGGCACATCCTTCGGCACAATCTCGTAGACATTGGATTGTTCATTAAATAAAATGAGAGCACTGCTGGACAGCTGTCATTGAAGTTGGTTACAACATTACGTGCTGTTTGACTGTGTATTTCAGATACATACTCTAATTGAATATACTAGAGGAACTCAGACCAGAAATTCACTTCTCGGTTCACATTTAAATTCGAAATGTTGACTTCCGAGGGCTGTCGATTGCTATCGATGCCGGTCACAAGTCTTTTAGCTGCTACGAAAATGGAGTGTATGTTGGATGGATTGGATCATGCAATGGTGGCGGTTGGATACGGAAAACTCAAGGAGAAGATTACTGGCTAATCAAGAACTCCTGGTCCAACTAATAGGGCAACGGTGGATATACTTCGATGGCGGTGAAGGCCTTACCACCGATGCGACGTATGTAAACTTGAAGTGAGATTTCAGTTTGAATTAGAAATAAGTAAAAGAGTAGTTTTATTTTCGGATGTGTGTCATCTTACAAGATGAAATAAATGAACAATTGAAATTTTAAAAAAATTGAAAGTTAATTAGGTTGAAGAAGCAATTGGTCGTCTACCAAACCAAACGCATTTGAACAATGCCGAACTAATTTTCACGGCACAATCACACGGAATTTTTATTGTTCAACTCAACCTAATTAACTTACAATTTTTAAACCGGATTTCACTTGTTATGGTATTACGATCTAATTATCCCGGAACTCCAACCCGATGGTAAAATCGAACGTCTTAGCTTGGAATCCTTCTTCCAAGCATAAACCATTCCGACGTCGAAAACCTCCGAGAGCTTCTTGATGGGAATCATCACCTTCAGCAGTTCCTCTTCGAGATTGAGCAGAAAGATGTAGTGCTTCTGAATCGTTTCCGTCGGATTAACCAGCAACGTTCGGACGACATTGGAGTAGTCGGACTTGTAACGCGCACCCAGAGCACAGATGATCAATCCATCCAAAGTGCAGATAGTTCTTGTCGCTGAATGCAATGAATTTCAAGCTGTAATTGCCACTTGACTCGCCGGGTAGCACATGTCCAACTAGTTGGTATCCACACCGAAGACGTACCTTTTGTATTTGCCTGCTCGACACCCTCCGACAGTTTAACATGTTTTACTTTCTTATCAGCATCCATAATCTCCATAATGCGATCCTTGAGGTACTTGTTGCATACGTCTACCGTCTGATGAAGGCTCGCTACGATTCACAGAATTCACTCGGGAAGTTTTCCTTGGAAAACGCCCATCGTTTTGCCATCCTTGGATCCCTTATTCGCCTCCAGCAGCTTTTCAAAATTGGCCTTGTATTTGTCGTTCTTTTCCCGAACCAACAGCTTCAGCGACGGAATGCCCTCACCGTCCTCGGCCTTCTTCTTGCTGGTCAGGAAAAAGATTGACTTTTCGCACAGCACCGTTATCGTATCGGTCAGCTCGTATCCATGCAGCGAGGTCTTCAGCGAGGTTGATTATCTGTAGATGCTTTCCTCGTCTACGCCGACCGCCGTCAGAATGCAATCAGGCGAGCACGATATTCGACATTTTCGGGGCCGTTGCGATTGCGAAATACCGGGTTGTCAAGTATACCATACTATTCGCATTTTAAAAAAAATCGAAGCTTGCTCTATGTCCGGCACTGCCGGCACACCAGCGGTACACTGAGAAAAATGTTGTCCCAAGATTGGTGTGCGGAGTGATCTACCCCTTGGGTTCTCTTGTTTGATAGCCATCGTAAAAACTGAATGCAAAATTTCAAAACCAAAATGGCAAGAGATTTCGTAGACACGCACTTTCGAAAATAAACGTTTGTTATTTTTTAAAGTGCACACTAAGCAGAAATGCACTAAATTTGAGTTGACTACTTTTTGAACGTTCCACCCTCACCTTCACCAGAGTCCATCAACAAAATCAACGATGATTTTGAGTCCGAATATACCGCATAGCTTGCCATCCGCTACCACCAAATAGCCAGTAGGGTAGGTGAGCCAGTTTTGACACTAGCTCCAGTATTTGACCCACGTGGAAATTCCAGCTGATAATAAGATAACATAAATGTATTGGGCTCTGAACGTAATTCAGCAACATATACAGAGTCACAAGGCAACATTTCAGTTCACAATTCCTCAGTTCAATAGCATTAGAGAGGGCGCTGATAATGATTACTCATGTTGTT